TGATAGTTTAGTATGGTTGTGGCATGGTATTTATGCTTAAAATGTGGCTCATTCGTACATCAGCATGAAAATATGAAATTTTTGCCTGAATGAGTCGACCGCCACAGGGGTATGGTCGACGCACACAAGTACAATTTTAAATTTCTCAAAATTCAAGCAGTACACGTCGACGCACACAGAGCAGAGGTCGACGCATCGCGCGAAAACTCAGATTTTTTTTGACGTTTCACTTTTTCATAAGATTCAAATCATGACCATCATTAAATGTGCATTATCATTCTTACATTGAGAATTGCACTACCTAATACCTATGAATCTTGTCCTCTCCTCTTCCCTAAAGCAAAAACCCTAATTTTTCATCTATATAAAAGGGGAAAACTTCATCTCCTCAACTCACTCCAAATCTCCTACTCTAATCCATCAACAAACCTTATTCCATCATATCTTACAAACACTCATCAATGGCTTCACACAGAATCACTGGTAAGAGAACTTCCAGAGCTTCATCCTCTACCTCTGTTCCCGTAACTGTTGTGTCTTTGGTTCCACCTCCATATGTTGAGAATTTTAACAAGGATTTCTCCAAAAGGGGGATAGTAAAGCAACATGCATACTATCGACTAACAGCGGAACGTATGCATCTGCCGGATATCATAGCTATTATAGATCTTCAAGGAATAAATAACTTTCTAGAATGTAATGCTAAGTATAGTGAAGATCTCATTCGCATCTTCTACTCCTGCATCAATGGCAAATTCCAAGGCTCAAGGTTTCATTCTTATATTGGTACAACTAAGGTCAGTATGAATTCTACTGTTTGGCAAAAGTATTTCAACATGACACCTGATGGGGATAAACCTCTGTATGAGGTGACTGATACTCATACCATGGACGGTTATGAGTTTAAAAAGGCCTTAAATTCAATGCTGAAACGGCCATATCCATCTCACATTGTGGCCAGTGATGCGTTTCCAAGAACCGTCACCGCTGGAAAATTAAAACTGGGAGATAGGATTCTCCAATGGATAGTGGCGCACATTCTGCGGCCAAAGAAAGGAGGCCTTTCTCGAGTGGGACAAGCTGAGGTTCATTTGATGTATCTGTTGAAAAGAAAAATCAAGATCAATTGGCCCTACTATATTGCAAGTAGGATGTACAGTTTAGGGATTCTGGTAGAGGTACCTCTCTTGCATATGGATCGTTCATTCAAGAGATTCTAACTTCTGCTGAAATTAACTTTCCATCATTCCCATACACATCTATTCCTTCTGATAGAGAATTCGGTCAGAAAACCTTATCCATGATGGTTTATTATTGGTCTGAAGATGAAAGTAGGTATAAATTCCATTGAAAGGCAACTACTCCTCTAGATGATGAGGAATCTGAAGAAAGTGAAGAAGAAGAAGGTAGTGAAGAGAGTGGAGAAGCAGAAGAAGCAGGGGGAGAAGTGGAGGGAAACAACAAAGACGATCATGAGGTACCTGCAACTTATCAGGAAATAAACATGGATGAGAATGGAAATGAGGATTGGGTTCAGTACATCGCTCCTTTAGATGAGGAAAATCACGGTGGCTGGGGCGAATGGCAATACACGGGCTGGACGTCACTACGTCAGTTTTATAGGCCTTACCAATGGGGAGCTGAAGAACCTCCATCTTCACCACAGCCGCAAGCAAACTCATCTGAACTACTTGAACTGATGAGGTCTATGCAATTAGATCAACAAATGTTTATGCAAGCTCAGGATGAGCGGTTTGCGCAAATCAACAGCCAACTTCAAACACAAAATGAGAGGCTGAATAGCTTTTCAACAAGGATGGATGAAAGATTTATGGTTGTCGCTGAATCAACTGCAAGACAGGAGTGAACCATCTCCACCAGCCTCAATTACTTAAGCAGTGTGGTTGAGCAATTAACTGACTTAGCCGATCCTTACCGCAACCCTCAAATTTTCTATGAGGGAGGACGAGGCCGTGGACGAGGATATTAGTGCATAGTTGCATATCATTCTCTATGTGTCAATGTCTTGTTTCTTAAATATGTATTTGTGACAAATATCTGCATTATTGTTTTGTGCTGTTTGTTTGAGCCTACTTTTCTTAATCAAGACTAAGTATATTAATACATTGTTCATTGATAATATTTTGTGTGGATATTATTGTATGACTGGTTATTACCTGTTGAGCATATGATTGTGATTTGAACACTTATCTTCTTAACATTTCTCTATTTCTTTTTGATATTGTCAAAGGGGGAGAAAAGTGTCGAGCCAAGACCTTGAGAATTAGGCATCCAGCAAGGGGGAGGGTATTAAGCAAGGGGGAGATTACATCGGTCACACACATGTTTGACATCATCAAAAAGGGGGAGTATGTGAGGGCAAACGCTAAACGCTCATACGTAACTAGTTTCGATGATGTCAAACCGAAACCATGAGTGAATTGGTTTCTCGACTCTCCACCACAACACTTCTGCATATCACTCCTCTCATTATCTCTATTATGTCCATCACAATTATCACATTGAATCTAACATAGGTGGAAGATTATCGGTTGCGACTGAAAGTACAAAATCCATAAACTAACACATTTTTGCAGGTTTGAAGGCCTTGAGTCGATCGCAGGTCAGCGCAAGGATCAATTATATTTCCCACGGGTCAACGCATGGTCGACACAGAATGCAAAGCAACAAAGTATGAGTCGACCACAGGTCGAAGCATGGCATAGTAGAAAAACTCACGGGTCAGTGCACGCCAACCTATGGTCAGCGCATGCTGTGTGAATTTTCAAAATTGCCTAAATCTGCAGGTTATGCGTCGACGCATAGTCCTGCTATGGTCGACTGCTCGCTCGTTACACCACTGCTGATAGTTTTCCATTGTGTTTGAATTTCAGTTAAACTAGTTGGTCCTTGGTTACTATAAAAAGAAAGTTCTGTTCATTTCTTTAACAACAATTGACAAATTGATTCAGTTGTACACAAACAAGAAAAAGTGAAATAGGTGTCCAATATTCATCATCTTCATCCTCAACATCTCACAACACATCAATTACACAACAATTTTTGAAGTGCATTGTGATTGTTCAAGGTGATAACGTTCGAAGCCGTGATTAGGGAATCTGGTTTGGGTTGAAGCTTGTGACAGGTTTTTTCTTGAATAAAACTGTTAGGATTTTGTCCTCCAAGATTGGTTTAATTTTGGGATTTTTTGGTACGAATTGCCTCATCAACTTTCAGCTGAGCAAAGGTGATTGAGAAGCGGTAGTCTTCGTCAATCTAGTAGCGGATTCGGTGAAGTTGGCTAGAGGAATTCGGGTTCGATTTGTTGTGGTTGAGATCAGCCGGACCGAGGGTTTGAAGAACGGAAGGTTGTTCAACAAAGGGGCTGGAATTGGAGGTCTATCAACAACAATCGAAGATCTTGATTCGACTTGAATCAAGGAATAAGGAGTGCAAGCAATATTCAACATCTTGAGAGTTTGGTTGTAAAAACTGTTCAACTTAACAGGTGATATCTATTATAGTAATCTCAATTCTATTATTAGAATTAAGGGCAGACGTACCCCGAAGCGAGGACGGAGGGGGATCTGCCTCATCAAATCTTTGCCTCCTTTAGTTTTCAGCACTTTCGTTTTTGCTTAAAATTAAGTGACTTTAGTATAAGCACTTTTGTCAAACATTGATATTGATTGAGTAAGAGATTAAACTCTGTTCTTGGAATCCAAAGTACAATAGGGTATTGTACTAGGTAATTGGAATCACTTACTCAAGTCAAATATCACTTGTAGTGCCTCGCACGCCAAGTGTTTGATAATTTGCCTAAACCAAAATTATCTTCTATTGTGTATCTAGTTTGGTTGGCTTTGTGAATCATTGGAACTAGGCATCCTAATAAGTGAATTAAATCATTGATAGTGTGACTAGTGTAGTGATTCTTCTTACACATCATAATTCATAGGCTAGACGCATATCCGATTTTCCAATAACCGTTCGTTTTAGACTATATTTTCCTCGGTCGCTTCCGCACTTAAAACAATTTTCAAAACCAATTTTTAATTGGTGGCGCGGACTCAAATTTTAATTGGGATCTATTCAACCCCCCTTCTAGATCCGCGCCATAGTCTAACAAAAAACGCTTTCTATTTTTTCCGTTTAGACAACGATGTCTTATGTATCTTTTAGTTATCTTTTAGGTCACTTTTAGGTCACTTTTAGGCAGCGCTTTCTTTAACAAAGCACTTCCTATTTTCCACTATAGGCAGCACTTATTTTTACAAAGCACCTATATGAAGTGCACTCTAAAGGTCGAGCATCCATGCCACCCCTAGACTAATCATCTAGAGATGCATGTGAGGTTGTCAGGTGAAATATCCTAATAAAATTTGTATTTTTTATTATATTATATTGATAAAATTGTTACCTAATTAATTTATATTTAAATTATTTAAATTGATTATTTTTATAATTTTTTGTATTTAATGTATTAATGATTTAAATAATAAAATAATTTAATAAAAATTATATATAGCTAAATCAAAAAGAAAAAAACTACCAACTAAAATGACAAAGGCATTAACCAATCAAAAAAGATGTCAATAGGATTGACATACCCGTTAAAAGAACCATATAATACATTTATCACAACTTATAGTATTAGAATGTGTTTATAAAAAGTCAAAGTGTATGTGCATTAGTTAGATATACAAGAGAGTCTAAAATATAGATATTTTTATTAGGGAAAAGAAATGAAAGCAGAAAGAAACTTTGAATCCGAGACGGAGACAAACCGTAAGCATAAAAAGTAACAAAAAAGTAGTCGGTGAAAATGATCTAAAAAAACTGAGCCAATCTTAGTGGTGCGGGTGACTCACCAAACGCGTGTCCCTTTGGCTCATTTTTATCCATCAATTGAAAACTCCTTATTACTATTATTCTTTTCTTTATGTATATATATAAATTCACTTACCCTCCTCATTTCACAACACAATATCACTATCATCATGGCTTTCTTTCTCTGCTTCTTCGTTCTCTTTCTCGCTTCTTCTGCTTCGGCTTGTGATCGTTGCGCACACCAATCCAAAGCTTCTCATTTTCCCAAAGATGCTCCTCCCCTTTCACGTAACAATCATTCATTCATTCATTTCTTTCGATTTTAATCTCATAGAAGCTGAATTTTATTTTCCAATATGCAGCTGGAGCTTGTGGTTATGACTCTTTAGCTCTTGACATTAGTTTCAGAAAACTCGCAGCGGGCGCTGCTTTACTTTTCAACAATGGAGCTGGTTGCGGTGCTTGCTTTCAGGTTTCCGACAAGTTCCTTGCTGAATTGAAGGAAGATGTTATTGTCATAAATATTATGTTAATTTGTATGAAATTATTGATGCAGGTAAGATGCAAGAACCCAGATTTATGCACAAAAGCAGGGACAAGAGTGACATTAACAGATCTTAATCCCAGCAATGAAACTGATTTTGTTCTAAGCAGTAGAGCTTTAACCGCCATGGCTCTTAAGGAAAAGAGAAAAGAAATTTTGAAACATGACATTCTTGACATTGAATATAAGAGGTAATTAACACCATTAATGACATTCATGATCATACTGAAACAAAGACTGATTCATGTCACATGGATTTGAATGGTGCAGAGTACCTTGCGAGTTCGCAGACCAGAAGTTGGCTGTTCGTGTTGAAGAATCAAGCAAAAAACCAGATTCTTTAGTAATTAAAATTTTGTATCAAGGTGGCCAAACAGAGATAGTAGGCGTTAACGTAGCTCAGGTATATATAATGGTTCATGTATGCTAAAAAATTCATCAAAAAATAATAATTAACCATTGGTTTATTTTTGCTATTAGATTGGATCTTCAGAGTGGGAATATATGACAAGACACCATGGTGCAGTGTGGGAGACAAGTAAGGTTCCAAAAGGGGCATTACAGTTAATGTTTGTGGTTACAGCAGGGTCTGATCAAAAACAGATAGTGGCAACGAAGGTTCTACCAGCTAATTGGAAAAAGGGAAAGATTTATGATTCTGATATTCAGATTACAGAAATTGCACAAGAGGAATGTCCAATATGTGCTGATGAAAAATGGGAATGATTTAGGATATGTTAATCATTACTCATGTGCTCAATTAATTTACCTACATAACATATACATACTCATTTTTGTATTATAGGATTAGAAATCAACTTATGTAATACCCAGAAATTATATATATATATATATATATATATATATATATATATATATATATATATATATATATATATATATATATATATATATATATATATATATATATATATATATATATATGGAGTAGTTTTATATAATTAAAATGTCTTGTCTCATTTCTAATTATTCAATTTCAATTCATAATTAAAGTTAAAATAAGAGGCGAAGAAAAAATTGTCTCTGTCTTTCTGTCCAAATTTTTACCTTTGATGCATTTGAGACAAAGGTACAAAGATTCAACTGCTTATAGTAATGATAAACTAAATTAAAACTAAGTTAATTATTGAATTTGTTGGTTGTGAGTTAATATTTACTCGAATCGTACCTTGTTGGCAGTTTTAGTTGGTCTCAAACAAAGCATAATGTAGTTATCGTGCGGTATTTTTGATGATTTTTTAGGTTATCAAAATAATTTGAAACACAACTCCAAGCCTAATTTCATTGATTTCAGTTTCGATCACATATGAGATTTTACAATAATTTTATTCTTTTATGATGCCAATGTTAATAAATGAAAGAATCTTTATTGAAGTTACAAAGTCATACATATAGCTGCTAAAACTCAAACAAAAGGGTAGGTATAAGACTTATCAAATGAATCTTTTTATTATAAATGATTTGAGTAATCTGCCACTACCTGATCTTGGCTATGTTAATACACTTTTGAATGACATGTGCTTATATGGTTTATCTTTCTCCATTTATCATTTCTATTTGTTCTTAATGAAAGAGACTATTAATTAAAATTTTGTATCAAGGTGGCCAAACAGAGATAGTAGGCGTTAACGTAGCTCAGGTATATATAATGGTTCATGTATGCTAAAAAATTCATCAAAAAATAATAATTAACCATTGGTTTATTTTTGCTATTAGATTGGATCTTCAGAATGGGAATATATGACTAGACACCATGGTGCAGTGTGGGAGACAAGTAAGGTTCCAAAAGGGGCATTACAGTTAATGTTTGTGGTTACAGCAGGATATGATGGAAAACAGGTAGTGGCAAAGAAGGTTCTACCAGCTAATTGGAAAATTGGAAAGATTTATGATTCTGATATTCAGATTACAGAAATTGCACAAGAGGAATGTCCAATATGTGCGGATGAAAAATGGGAATGATTTAGGATTCTCCAATATCTGCTGATGAAAAATGGGAATGATTTAGGATATATTAATCATTACTCATGTGCTCAATTAATTTACCTACATAACATATACATACTCATTTTTGTATTATAGGATTAGAAACCAACTTATGTAATACCCAGAAATTATATATATATATATATATATATATATATATATATATATATATATATATATATATATATATATATATATATATATATATATATATATATATATATATATATATATATATATATATATATATATATATATATATATATATATATATATATATATATATATATATATATATATATATATATATATATATATATATATATATATATATATATATATATATATATATATATATATATATATATATATATATATATATATATATATATATATATATGGACTAGTTTCATATAATTAAAATGTCTTGTCTCATTTCTAACTATTCAATTTCATTTGATAATCAAAGTTAAAATAAGAGGGGAAGAAAAAATAGTCTCTCTCTCCCCGTCCAAATTTTTATCTTTGATGTATTTGAGACAAAGGTACAAAGATTCTTCTGCTTATAGTAATGATAAACTAAGTTAAAACTAAGTTAAGTAGTGAGTTTGTTGGTTGTGAGGTAATATTTACTCGAATCGTAACTTGTTGGCAATTTTAGTTGGTCTCAAACAAAGCATAATGTAGTTATCGTGTGGTATTTTTGATGATTTTTTAGGTTATCAAAATAATTTGAAACACAACTCCAGGCCTAATTTCATTGATTTCAGTTTCGATCTCATATGAGATTTTACAATAATTTTATTCTTTTATGATGCCAATGTTAATAAATGAAAGAATCTTTACTGAAGTTACAAAGTCATACATATATACATATAGCTGCTAAAACTCAAACAAAAGGGTAGGTATAAGACTTATCAAATGAATCTTTTTGTTATAAATGACTTGAGTAATCTGCCACTATGGTTTTAAATGACATGTGCTTCTATGGTTTATCTTTCTTCATTTCTCATTTTTAATTGTTCTTAATGAAAGAGACTATTAATTAAAGGGGTGTTTTATCAAGTTTTAATTAAAAATGGTTATATGTTTCCTAAGGTACATGTTACTAAAACACTCCTTTTAAAAAATAAATGGGTATAAGTTAACATTTTCTAAGTATTTGCTAAAATACACTTATTTATCTTTTAAAAGAAGTGTGTAAGTAAACAATAATTAAAAATTCATTAAATACACCATAAATTGCATGTTTCTAAAACATGCCTTCAGTTCACTATAGGCGTGTTATGGCAATGCAACAGCCTTTTGTGCCCCAGTCCAAGCCCAATTGTTAAAGCCTTTATTAGTTCTAATCTCAGTAGAAAGCATGATCTGAATATGGTTCGTAAGATTCAAGACTGACTCATGAGCTTACATGATTTTCATGTTAAGCACATCCTCCGCGAACCTAACAAGTGTGCGGGATCTTCTTGCTAAGTTTAGTCTCTCTATGACTACTAGTAATTGTAATTTTGTTAAGTGTCTCCCTTTCCTGATTAAGTTGGTTCAACAAGATGCTCTTGGGGTTGATGTTTCTCTTGTTGTGTAGTTTTTGTTTTTGTTTGAGCTTTTTCCCTCCTCATGCAAAAAAAATAAAGGTTCCACCTAAGACGAACAATATAGGTCATCCTATAAGAGAAAACGATAATGTATCACTTCAGGAAAGGTATCACCACTACTACGAATAAAACATTTAACTTTGATTGGAAACAAAGTGTTACCTCGAATGCAAGGTAACGAAGGACATCATAAAAGTGTGACACATTACCTCCCGATATTTAATAAATCGACGGAAAAGGAAACAACATTAAACAACAACTAAAAAAGGAAATTTCTTAACAAAACTACATAAACATCAACAATAAACCTATATGGTTAACCGATTAACACTGTGACAGAATGCCATTTTTGTGCTTTTTCAAGCTTGTTTGGTTTTCTTTCCCCATTTAACTTCCATAGCTTGATATGCTTAATATTTGTAGATGTTTTAGGGACTATTTAACCTCTATTCAAAGCATGTATGCATACCTTGGTGCACGATTTTATCGATTATGTAATTATTTACATTTTAACCTTGTATGATCATGATCATTCTTACATATTCTCGTTTACATGATAACATGATTGATGATACATGCTAATTGATGTTCGTTTCTGCCTTACAAATTCATTTTTGATTGCATTAATTTTGTTCTTTATTGAGAAAATTTAATTTTGTATAATCATTACTCTGCACGCTTGCTTTGAAAATCTTTTGACTCGGGTGAAAGATTGTCGGCTTGTTCGTTCCCTTTTGATTGGTTGATCGAAACTTTATTTCAATTAGTTGATTTTCCCTCTTTCTTCTCTTTAATTTCTTTTAGAGACTTATTCTCTCAATCCTCTTCTGAGTCGGAGGTCTGTATAACACATTGGAGCATTGTACAACTTGAGTCGTTTCTCTGTCAGAGTTTCGCACTACACTTTAGGTACTAGAGAAGGAATGAGGATGGAGTTTGTCATACCCTCATTCTAACTATTTATCAGAAAGTGCGTCTGGTCCTTACATCTGGGATAAGTCACCTCTACTCCCAAATTGTTGTGTATCTTGAGTTTGATCCTTGATCTTTCTTTCCTTTCAATCCTTCCTTTGATTAATCACCTTTTCCTTGCACCCTAATCATTGTCTCTGGGTTTATTTTCCTCTTTTCAATTCAACTCCTTTTTCTTTTGGCCAATTACTATTCTTTGATTCCTCAAGGAGATTTTTAATCATCCTTTTCTTTGGTTAATCAATTGTAATTTGGTTAAAATCAATTATTTTCTTCCCCAGCGAAGTCACGTGTCCTTTGACTGTTTAATCACTGTATGTCAGTTAAAACACCAATTCACCCATTCTTCAGTTAACCACAGTCTGTCTATTAACATACTGAGCCTCTTTTGAGTTTATCACCTTCTCTTGGTCAATCACTCTTTCTTTTCGGTTAATCACAATTCGTCTGTTGAAATACCAAATTCCCCTCGCATTTAACAATCTTTCTTGGGTTCAAACACTCACACTTCTGAGTTAGTAACCTTCTTCGGTTCAAATACCTTTTTTCGGTCAAGTACTGCTTGTTCAGTTAGTGTACCGTATGTTAGGTTACAACCTTCGCTTGGTTCCATACTCATCCTTTAGGTTACAACCTTCGTTTGGTTTCACACCCGTCCTTTGGGTTACAATATTTGCTTGGTTGCACACCCGTTCTTCTAGTTGACCGTCGTCCATGGATTAAAGCAAACTTCTTTCTCTTTTCGGTTAACAATTGCTTATTAGTTAACACACCGAGTTTCCCAGAGAGTGAAACACCTTCTCTTGGTTTGATACTCTCCTTTTGGTTATCACAGTCTGTCTGTTGATGCCAACTTTTATTTTTCCCACAGAGTCATACTCTATCTTTCTTCGCTTAATCACTATTTTCCAGTTAATGCACCGAATCCCCTGTGGATCTTTCTTTACCTCGATTCCTATCCTTTATTAATTTTCTTTCTTGGGTTTCGACACTATTCTATTGTTTTCTCCTCATTGAGGTTATTTCTGCTTTTTTTGTTCCTCAGCAGAGCCTTCCTTTGCTTTTGGTTTTGACACCATTTCTATTTTCCCCTAGTAGAGTGTTGATGCCTCCTTTTGCTCTTGGTTTTGAAACCATTTATGTTTTCCTTTTCATTCTCTGTCCTAGTTCCCCAAACTACAGAGCTCCGAGTTCATCATTGCATTGTGAGGATACATAGGCACGAGATTGTGAGATCTTGGCGAGCTACCTTCTACATTCTTCCGTACTTTTTTCGTCTTTCCTGGTTTCATGAACTATGGAGCTCTAAATTTCTCATTGCACTATGAGGATACGTAGGCACAAGGGTCCCAATCCTCTGCGAGCACCTTCTTTCTCTCTATTTTCTTTCCTTTTTTAGTTAGTAGCCTTTAGATAGATAGCCCCTCCAAGCCTAGAAGTAAGCAAAATGGTTCTCGTCGAGTACGGAGGATGCGTGAGGTGCTAGTACGTTCCTCTCGCATAACCGACCCCCTGACCCGTTTCTCTTCCCTTTGGGTTTTATCGATATTTTTCCTGTCCTTTGGAACTAAATAAAATTCGGTGGAGACTTTGTTGTATCTTTGAGTGTGCGATTCACTCATGTATAATCTCGCTAGCTTCAACTGGGGAGTCCTTGCGCTTGCAAGTTGGGGTCTCTCCTAGTTTTGTTTGTTTTTATTGCTTGTTTGGGTGTTTACCTTCATCCTTTGCTTGCTTTCTCTTTATGTTATTGTCATACCCCGAATTTGTCCTACTTGTACATAATCTCCTTCTATACTTCCATCCACTAACCATTATTCAAAATGTGTGGCTATTACTCAGGGTATCACAAGGTTAAATTGAATTGGTATGTGGTTCAATTGAAGATGTCAGGACAGGTGTGTTTTGGTAGTGTTGAGTGAGGTTCAATGATTAGGCAAAATTTCGTTTCGAGATTAATCAAGGATATGGTATGTACTTAAGGACTGCAGTCAGGGTTTGGGTGTCAATTCAAATCAGTTATGTGCAGAACCGATTATCAGGCTATGATAGGACAAGTATCCCATCAATGTTTGGTTCAGTTGAATTAAGATTTTATACAATGTATTGAGATCCATGTGACATTCTGTTTCAATGCATCTATTTATTCATTTGGTCCACATTGAAGTTTTAGTTCCTCAATATTCACGTGACTGGTTCAAATTGATTTATTGATTCAAAGTCTCATGTATCTCACATGAATAAGTCAAGAATGATGGAATTTGGTTTTAATTGGAATTTCAAGTGTATTTGTTATGGTTTTAAATTATGAATCAAAGTCAATGCACCAAGGCTTATATTTCAAGTCATGTCAAGACATGTTTATTTGGTTCATATTGTCATCCGAGAAATTCGAAAGTGATTCAT